TAGGGTTTAGTTAGGGTTTAGGGTTCCTAAAAGAATTCGATAAGGGATCTCTAGCGGGATGAAGAAAGGGTCAAAAGAGATCTGTAAAGGTTCTATAAGGTATGTATAAGGGATCTATGAGGGCTCTAGGAGGGCTTAGGCCGTAGTCTCAGCTTCTTGGTAGCAATCGGACAAGGCTGAAGGGCTTTCACGTTCGGGGTTTGCAACGGGTTTAGGGTAGTGTTTGGATGGCTTCATTACCCTACAGCCGAAGCCTCAAGCCGTAAACCCTAAACCCTAAACTCTAAACCCCAAACCCTCAAGCCTAAACCCCAGACCTCAAACGCTAAATCCAAAGCTCTAAACCCTAAAACCTAAATCCCCAGACCTCAAACGCTAAACCCTAAACCCGAAACCCCAGACCTCAAACGCTAAACCCTAAACCCGAAACCCTAAAAACTCAACCCCAGACCTCAAACGCTAAACCCTAAACCCGAAACCCCAGACCTCAAACGCCAAACCCAGAGCTCTAATACCCCTGTATTAAGGAATATACCTTAAATTATAGTAGGATCCCTAATAAGATTTAAAGTATATTCCTTAATTAAGGGGTATTGGAGTCTCTGGGAACCCAATACCCCTTAATTCAGCTCTTCAAAGATCCCTGAAATGAGACCTTATAGTGATCCTATAGATCCCTTAAAGGAACCCTTATAAGATCCCTAAACCCAAAGCTCTAAAAGTTGAGGCCCGGTCCTCCACGCCCGGCATGGTGCTGGGGTGCGAAAGCCGCGCGATGGGCTTCCTAAGGTCGGGGCCTTAAGAATTAGAATAGGGTTCTTGGGGGTCCTTGTGTAGGGTTTAGGGTTTAGGGTTTAGGGTTTGGGGTTTGGGGCATTAGTAGTTAGAGGAGGGTGCTTTGGGGGCTCCTTTAAAGGGTTCCTTAGAGGGTTCCATCAGGGCTACTATAAGGGTTCAGGGTGTAGGGGCCTTGATAATTAGAATAGGGCTTTGGGACCAATTATACTATAATTGCAAAAAGGACGGCCCAAAATGGTGTTGGTAATCATTAAGGCGCCTACATTACGGGGCTTTAGGTTTAGGATTTAAGGTTCAGCGTTCGGGGGTTGGGGTTCAATTCAGGTTCAGGCTGTCGGGCGCAGGGCAACTGCAAGGAAACCCCGATGCTTCAACCCAAGGCATCGAGGTTCTTGTATTGCAGTCGCGATCATTAAACCTGTATGCAACATAGGGGCCTCAAAGGTAATACAGGGGCCGAAATAATCGGAAACAGGTTTGGGGGGATTCGAGAACTTAAAATGTAAATACCACTAGTATACATGTTACTATGTGTTTATATGGGGATACTCTCATTACTTTTCCAAACCCCTACAATGCACCGCGCCCTTGACCTGATTCGAAGTTGTCCGAGATAGAGGGGTAGGGCAATGACGATGAGGGTTTAGGATTTAGGGCTTAATATAGGGGCCGTTATAATTAGAATAGGGTTTTGGGGCCCACTATACTATGAAAATAAAGAGGAACCCCCCGAAATAGTTTTGGTAATTATTTAGGCCCCTACATTACGGTTTAGGGTTTAGGGTCCTCTTATTATGCTGATCCCTGGGCTCTGAAGTAACCAGGGAGAACAAAGTATAGACTTTTATTTCATAATGGTTCCTTTAGGGAACAGGTCCCCCGAAAAAAAGTATTGAAGCATAGCACTCCAAAGCCCAGGATCCTCTTCTGCCGCCGGGAAGCTTCCCTCTTCGCTTCGCAAGCGCTTTCTCGACCAAACTGGCGATGTAGGGTTTAGGGTTTAGGGTTTAGGGTTTAGGGTTTAGGGTTTAGGGTTTAGGGTTTAGGGTTTAGGGATCAGAGCGGGGCAGTGGTGCTTCGGTTTAGGGCTTTACAGTTGAGGCGTTTACGGTTGAAGGCTCTAGAGCTTGAGGGCTTAATTTCGGGCTTTGGGGCTTTGGGGTTTTCGGGCTTTGGGTCTAGGGATTTAGGGTGTATAGTGCTTCTGTCCTTGCATGGTTTGGGTTTAGAGTTTAGGGTACCCTGAACCCTTAAAACCCTAGACCCTAAACCCTAATCCTAAACAGACGGACTCGGAAAAGGGCCACTGCCACCGTAACACAGCAAAGCGCCAGCTCCAAAGCGTCCCAGGTTTTGAGTTTTTTTTAGGGTTTAGGGTTTAGGGGTTAGGGTTTACGGTTTAGGGCTCGAACTCCGAAGCCTGAAAAATGAAACCGTTAAGCCCAAATACTGTTGATGATATGAATCCTGCATTGCCCATCAGAAGGAATATGGGGGTTTCCGATATTAGGGGGCCCTAATATAGTACCCTAAATAGTAGGATCCTTATTATGAGGACCCCAAAATAAGGTACCCTTATTTTCGGAAACTCCCATATACCATAATTCCCATACTTGAGGGTCCCTGAGGGTAATGCATGGTTTATATCATCAACAGGATGTGTATATAAACTGTATACGTATATACTATTCCTTCGGGGTCCTTGATATGAGTATACTAGAATCGACTCCTCCAGTTAATCAGGGCCCGTATACTAAACTCTACACTCTAAGCCCCTTAACCTCAGATCCCTATAGAAAAACCTCAACATCCCTGCACTAAACATCCGTAAACCATAAACTCCCAAAGCCCCTTGCAGTACTCTTTATAGTACCTGTAATATAGTACCCTTCTAGGAACCCTGCAACCCAAAGCCACTGAAACCCTAAACCCTAAACCCGAAGAGCCCTAGAAGCCCCCTAAACCCAAATTTTGCGGCCTGGCCTGCTGGCGGCGAGCATTCCTTCGACTCTGCTTTCAAATTGCGTGAAACCTACTTCCCCAATAGGCCAGGGAAATAAAAGGTTAAACTTTCAGATTACTACTAACTTATAAGAACCCAAAAAGTTTAAAAGTTGGGTATTGGGGGAACAAGGGTACTTGGAAGGTCTAGGCTAACCCCAAGCCTCGACGGTGGTTTGGGGGCTTTTTTTTTTTCAAGGTTTAGGGTTTGGGCGTTGGGGCTGAGCCCTGCAACCTAATGTAGGGGCCTTAATAATTGGAGTAGGGTTTTGGGGTCCTTTATAGTATAATTAGAACGAGGAGCCCCCAAAATACTGTTGGTAATTATTTAGGCTTCTGCATTGAACCCTAAACCCTGAAAGTGTTCAGGGTGTAAGGTTTCGGGTTTGGGGCTTAGGGCTTCGGGCCTAAACCCTAAACCCCAAACCTGAAACCCCAAACCCTAAACCCAAAACCCAAAACTAGAAGGTCTTTTGGCCAGAGTCCCCCAAAGCCTCCTGGCCCAAAACTCCGAACCCTAAACCTCGCGCCCGATTCCCCAACAAACCCTCAGCCCTTCTAGGTCCCTTGGGTTTAGGGTTTAGGGTTTAGGGCTTTGGGTTTTGGGTTTAGGGCTTTAGGGTTTTAGGGTTTTAGGGTTTTGGGTTTTGGGTTTTGGGTTTAGGGCTTAGTGAATGACTTCCTATAGTGGTTAGGGGCACACTTGAGAATATAGACTCTCTCAATAAGGTCCCCGTCTTAAAAAAGCCAGACGTAGGGTTCAGAAGGGTGCCCTTTAAGGGGTCCCCCTAGCACTACCTAGGAGTCTAGGAACTCTAAACTAGACCTTGAACCCTCTCTACCCTTGCCCGCTTTGGGTGTGGGGTCGCTTGTCGAGTCAAGAGGCTTTTTTTAACTTCAACCCTCAAACCGCTCAGCCCCCCATGAAAGAACCCTAAACCCTAAACCCTAAACCCTAAACCCTAAACCCCTGCTTTTGATCCCCGACCCCGCAAACCTGAAAAGACCCCAGCAACTCCCAACCCAAGAGACGGAGGAACCCAAAACCGTGATAGAACCCTTCTACTTACCCAGAGAGCCCAATACCCCCTTAGTTAAGGAAGATACCTCAAAT